CATTTGCATTGTCGTTACATCGGTTAGTAAGTTCTGCTTCCGCCTTCTCATCGTCGACTATAACGTCAAAGATGTTGGTCTGCAGTCAACTGTGAGAAAATTTACCATCATTTTATCTTGCAATAAAGAGGCAATTCAGGGCTGACATTAACATTTAGGAGGAAGTAACAAGAAGGCTTCCAGCTTGTTTAAATTGGTTGTAATTCACTTTACAGAAAGGAAATCTAAAATACAAATAATTTAAAAAAACTGGCAATATCTATCTGTTTAAACATGTTTGTAATTATTTTACAGCAATTGTCCGAGAATTTTGTGAATAACTTCGCAGCAACCTGAGACTACTTCGAAGACGAAAGAATGCGCAATAATAATGCAGTGAGTATATTGCCGACATAGAAGACCTGGGGAACTACTAGTATGGACTGGAGGCAATTCCACTCAGGAAAAGTACAATGGTTGAGGTATTCAATGCCCCAGCAACAGGACCGAAGAGTTAAACAATCAAAGCATCACATAACCTTTCTCCTCTTTTGAGCATTGTTCTCTGCCCTTCCCTTTGTCAAACCCCGTGTCAGCTATCACAAAGTAATCGGTGCTATGAGAAAAACACTGTCGAGTCGACCGCATCCAGTCATTGAATTTGCCTGCAACGTCACTGACCCCTCTTGGCAATTCCGCTGTGTCTGGAGTTTCGTCGTATGAAAAATACATTGGGTGAAGGAGATGTGTACAGGCAGTCACGAGTGCCTTGCTCTAGTCGTGAGATCACTGACACAAAAGTAGAGTCATTTAATAAATGAAGGGGCTTAAAATAGTTTTGTGGGGATAAGACTTGCCACTCCTTGCCACTTTGTTCCCACCTCAGTGCTGCTTAGCAGCATATTCATCAGGATTTATTTCGGCCAATAGAGAGGTGGAGGAGGTATCGCTCGTTCACTTTACTAACTTCTTCATACAGGTACCGAATCAGCTCCATAACGAACCTTTCCAGATGTTTCATGGCCACGGCTAATGTCGCTTCAGCTGTTAACAGCATTCCTGTAGAGCACGGAAATGGGTAGTTGCTGTAAGTAGACGTCATTTTAAGCCCTTCTGTTTAAGATGGCCACACGTTTTCCCATCCACAGCCTATGACCTTCTTCCGTCACCTCAAAGTTTGGCATTCCGTTATAGAAATCAGGATAGTTGTTATTAGGGGTGGGGCTTGTTTTCCGTTGCTAACACTGTATCACTCCGAGATTTTTCTGGCTTTAAAATAAGTCATAATGCTTAAGCGAAATGTGTACTGCTAATGTACGGAAGGGATGAGAGAATCTTGGTAAGGCTCAGAGGTAATGCCGCTTCAGCGGAGGTAAAATCACAAAGCCTCAATTGTCTACGAGCCGCAAACGAAGAGTAAAACAAATAACCAAAGTACCAAAGCCTATTAAAATCCTTTAAATCTGTTGAAATGCAAGATATGGATGACTGTCTAAATCTGATCAATCTCAAATGGATATGCCAAAGAAATCTTGAATAAACTATTCCTGGTTAGAGAACGTTGAAAAAAAATTATTTTGCTAATTGTTGATTCCATTCACTGTTAATAGAATCCACCAGTCTAAATGCTTCCTAAAAGTTTCTTAAGTTATTTTATTGAGAAAATACTTAATAATTAGTTATTGATAAGGGCGGTGTGATTCAGAAGAAGCGAGTACAATGACTTATGTGCTTACTATCGAGGCCTCAGGGAGGACCCAACTGCTACAGCTCAAAAAAATTGTGTTTCAGAAATTAAGCATTTTGGTTCTATTTTATTGTTTTAATAGCCATAGGCCTGTTCATGACTCACTATTTTTATGACCATTTTTAGATCAAGTACTGATAAGGACCGCATTTAATATGTTTGCGACAGGAGATCCACATTGAAAAGCCCCAGTCTTATGTAATATACTTACTGCTCCCATTCATTAATTTGTACATCCTCGAAAGTTACTAAGTTCGGCTAATACTTCAAAGTTGTTGCCACACACAGAGGAGATAGTCTGGCCCTAAAAAGATGCATTATTCTTATTTTATACAACTAATAACTGGGCTTATTGCCCCCTACTTTATGGCCTCCACACCGGTTTCGCATAACCATAAGGACTGTCGTTCTTTTTCTTCCCCATTGCCGCATAGCTTAAGGGCAAAAATATGCAGGTGGCGCTCTGAATCTCCTGCCTTAGCATCAAGTTTGCATGCGTCTGACTTACTTAATTAAAAAGGATGTGTTAGACTAAAAAGGGAAAACGGGGTAAAGTCATAAAGCATTTGAGCCTTAAGGGGTGTTTTTAAGCCCGGCGTTACAAATATGTAACATATATTCACTTTCGGTGAGTGTTAACAAGCTGTTCAAAATAGCCTGTACTGGACAAATTTGTTGGGGCCCAAAATGGCTGAAGAAATTTAAAGCAATCTTGGCCAAAGGTAAAATGTATCTCTATTTTATAAGCAGTAGTTAGATTGGTCGCTCCAGTAGGGCAAGTGTTGGTGCCAAATTAGAATAGTGAAGCGTTCAAAATACGAGACAGGAATTCCTTCTAAAATTGACAAAATCGTAATGTTGATCATTGGATTTGTTGTTTTGAGTTAAAATTGCTGCTAGCAAAGCAGGATTACTGCTTTTTTCTCACCACACCAATTTGGTACCGTAATTCCGAATGAGTTGTTCATTTCATGTATGTAATAGGTTAATTGTTTGTTTAACCCTTTGTTTTGCTTTTGCAAGCCATTAAGGTGCCCTCATTGTACTTACACTAAGCAGCATGGCCTTCAGATCATGCTAGTAGACTCTCATCCCTTTTTTTTCAATATTATGACTTCTTTCGTTTTTAGAAGGACTTGGGACGCTATATGGGTGACAGTGGCAACCAAACTGGATCCTAAAGAATAACCACCCTGATCCTTATTTCTAAATACTAGACATTGACTTGACGATCCTCAACAGGAGGGTTAAAACTGGCGTCTGCCTTCGGCAACATCCCTGCTCTCCTGTCCTACAGGAATGCTTGCAACAATTGCAGCGACGATAGCCGTAACCTTGAATCGTCGGGGAAATTTCTTTACAGAACTACAATAGGTACCTCTATGAAGACGCTAATGCCCCTCAGCCCATCTTTGCATAGACAATCCATTTTTTCTCCTAGTATTATGTCCTCTTTCCACTTTAGGCAAGACTCGAGGTGGTTCATGTATACTTATAGAAAAATACTTCTATTTCATTGAATCCTATCTTCACAGTAAAGTCACGAACTTATACAAATAAGCGATCAAAGGTTTCTCCCGCGAAGTAAAAATACGCTACAGGTTCAAATTCATTATGGAAATTCTTCATTTTTATCAGATGGCCTTTTTTTGATTTTAAATTTGGCAAAAAACTTTAAGTAGATTTAGCACTCTAAATTTTAACACACTTTGAAGGAGGTTTTGAAGTCAATCCTCTGTAGCCAGAAAATTCACATCTGAGCGCACCATTCACAGATGCTTAGCTGTAACAAAGTTTCAATTACCAAATCACTTCTATCGAAATAACCAAACTTTGAAGTCACAATGGGAATTTGGCTGTCGGAGTTACCTCAGTCCAATGCTTCATACTAGGTATCAAGCACCCGTACAACTTAATATTCTATTACATTTACATAGGGCAAAAGGGCAACATGAGAATAAATTCACTTTCCAAGGAGTATTTCACACCCCCTACCCCGCACCCCATCTCTTCTCCATATATACTATTAGTGACTGATTAATGGTTCACCCCTTAGGGGCTTTGTTTATACTTGCTTATTCGAAGCTGGAAAAATCGGGCATTTACTTGGCTTCCCTCTTACTCTCTTTAACCAATCGTCTGGTAATGTCACGACACCTTTGAATTACAAAGGAAAGAAAGCTGAACCGTGTCACTTATGGGATAACAAAAGGTTGATGCTCAAGCGGTGATAAATATGCTCAATTTTAAGGTAAACTATTTTTCGGAAACATACAAACAGACAACGCTTGGCTTACCTGTACATTTGATCACGGATTTCTCAAGTTTTGAGTTTTGGCTTACATTCTGACCATCACATTCTCATCATAGAATTTTGGCAACAGCTTATGAGTCGATCTGTATCCATACAATCGAAAAGAGGGAATACTTTGATTACTTGTTTAATCCTCCGCTTTTGTTCTGCTGACACTTAAGGCTCCGCCTTTGTACTTTTGCCAAGTGACATGGCCCGTGGACCGTGCCAGTAGACCATCAGGAGTTCTGTATGTTGGCAAGAAGTTTTCAGTTATAGTATTAGGACTCCCTTCAACTTCAGGGAGGTCTCAAGGGGCTACATTATTGACAACGGCAAATGAATTTCATCCTAAAGGACAACTACCCTGATTTCTAATGCTAAATGTTAGACATTAGTGAAAAGGAAGAAGGACATATTATGCGGAGGGCCCGGATATTGTACTTCCACTAGGCGAAATGGCCTTTGGACCATGTTTAGTCCCCCAGGCCGTTTCTTCACTGGCAGTATACTTTCTGCATTGTTATATTTTCAGTTTTTCGTCTTCAGAGAAGTCTCAGGGCGCTATAAAGTTATTCTGTGTTTAAACAGAAATATATTTCCAGGTTTTGGGATTATTTGTGTTTTCAATTCCCTTCCCACAAAATGGATTACAACCATTTCACAACAAGTTAGAAGCCTTTTTGTTATCTTAAATGCTAATGCCAGCCCTGAATTATTGCATTAATGTAGAATAAAGTGATGGGAAGATTTTCCTGCATTTGACAGCTAGGCAACAAGTTTGCTGTCATGGTCGACGAAGAGAAGGCGGAAGCGGAACTAATTTA